GTTTCAATCAAGTGTTTTTGTTCCTCCAAAATAGCTTCATGAATCAAATCATCATCCGAATGATGTTCATCCATTGTCTCTTCAGATTTTTCATGATGGTGATGATGATCAGAGTGTTTCTTATTCAATATCAAACTCTCCTCTTCATCCTGACCATCCGATGATGAATTATTAGAAGCACTACTATTACTACTATACACCAACAAGGGACCATAATAATTCTTCTCTACCAACTGTCCTCCTTGACCCAAACACAAATAGGCATCGTAATCGTGATGATTCGAGGTGGAACATTTTTTCTCTAGCCGTTGCTGAGTAGTAGTATATTGCTGAAAACCGCGCTCTTTTCTCTTCACCAATGAACCCAACTCTCTCTTCCTCTCCTGACGTTGTTCCTCTTGGCGCGTATAGAATTCGTAACGTTGGAGTGCACGACGGAGAGGTTGCGAGGTTTCCTCGATCAAGGCTCTCTCGAAGGCTTCGGCTTCGGCGGCAAGTTTCTTCTCAAAGGTGCCCATGTCTTGGTCGATGGATTGTTGTTGTTGGAAGGATGAGTTGAGAGTGGCCAGTTTCATCAGATTGGATTGGGAGTTGTTTAGATCTCCCAGGCCATTTGACATGCTCATTTTTTTTAATGTTTTTGGCAGGTGACATTTGATGGTGGTAAAAGAAGATCAATAAAAATTTTAGTATTTTAATTTAAATGATATTAAATTTTAACAGGGGGGCGGAAAGTTTTAGTGGTATTGGCCAGGCGTAAATGTTGAGATTTCACTGAATGGTTCCAAGTTGATATATGTTTTTAAAATAAATATACAACATTATGATTCACACAATCAGTAACATTTCTAACAACACATGAATTTTATTAATATTGATTAAAATTTAAGAGAGTGCTTCTTGATTTATAGAATGTAAGCAAATGGGTACTCTCAGAGCCGAAGACAATGTTTTTAAAATATTTATCGATTCTAATACGTTATACCACTCGTTGATATGTTCCCCATCTTGTAATTATTCGATTTTGTGAAGTAGTTATTGCAGACAAGGTATTTTCAGAATTAAATTTTGAGCTAAAACACAATTACAATTTAGGAAGTATCAAAAAAAATAAATACGAGGAAACAAAAAAATAGCTATCCTCAAATCCTCTTAAATTACATAAACTCCAACATTTGAAAATACGAAACCTTTAAAACCTTCCTTCGTTGTGCAGTACGAATTTTTTAAACCATCTTTTTTCCCTTGTTAATGTCATTACAATGTGAGAAGTGGATGGCTAACTTTCGTTCTTGAGATATGAGTAACAACTCAAAAATAACTATTCTCAAATCGTGTTAATTCATGTAATAAGGGCACTTACAAAAATCAAGAGGTTGAAATCTTGATTTCGTTGTGTCAGAAAATAAACCTTCGTTGTAATACATTTTTTGTAATAATTTTCTTAAAAATACTTTTCATCTTTCATCTTTAAAAATGAACAGTTAGAAAAGTAACAAATGAATTTAATGAATTTGCCATCTATTATAGCTCACAAGGAACCTTTCAATATGATACAATTACGAAAACTTATGTTTTATTGGATACAAAAAAATCGTTGGATTTCAAGATCATAATTTTCTTTTCTTGTATTCCCAAATTATTTTTAAGGAATTAAATAAATCAGGAATTTATAAATTAGGAACTGTATTGAACGTACGAAGAAAACGATGCAAACCAACGAATTGCAACATACAGCATTTCATAAATATAATAACCAGAAGGTGGTTGATTAGAAAATTATTTTCCGATTATTTTTCGATGCACTCAACATTTTACTTCACTCTCCCCCCCCTTGAATTTTAAAATACATAATTTGTTTGATAATGAAATAATTGAAATGTTTCTAATAGTTGGAGTTTAGTTTAAAATTCCTAAAATTTGAACCAATTCTTGGAATGAAACTTTTCCATCTCCATCCTTGTCAAGCTCTTTAGCAACTTGTTCTTTAGAATGAGTAGCATCACCAGCATCTTGGAAATAGGCTTGATAGAATTGATCAAATTCTTCAGGGAAATCCAAAAATCCACTTTTATCTTTATCGAAATTCTTTATCAACATTTAATATTTGTGATGATAAAATAATTATATATTAAATATTAAATATTAAATAACAACAACATACAACAAAACTATCATAAGCAGCAGTCAACATTTTAACCTTCTTAGTCAATGTAGAAAATCCCGATCCACTCAATTTAATCCACCAAATATAAAACTCTTCAAAACAAATCGACTTGGAGCAATCTCTATCGATCAAGGTTGCGATTGCCTTAACTTCCTTCTT